TACCTTAATTAAATAGCAAAAGAACCTACACAAAATATAATATTCTTTTTTAAACACACGCCTAAATGTAGAGCTATTCACAGTAAAAAAGATGACTTTTTTTGTTGACGCGCCTTATAGTTTAACAATAATGTTATCTACATCTTTCGCAATATAGTCGTGCATAATCGGTTTTACGCAATCGCAAAAACAACACGGGCATGTGATAAACATGTGTTCCGGTTAAAATTTTCCCCTGTGTCGCTTTAGCATGGAAACGCATTTTTACTGGACATAACGGTGTCCAACATCTGCCCTTGACTTCGAAAACGTGACATCCAGTAGAGTGTCTTGTACTTGTTTTCATGTTTTAGCCACATCCAAATTTTGGACATGAATATGAAATACATGTATACGGAAGCCAAAATGTGCCACATTGTCCGTCAATCACCATCTGTGTCTGCATGCCTTTGTGAGTTTATTTGAATATTACTTTTTCACGCAATTATTGTAATATTTATTTAAATAATATATTTATTTAAATACGTGACTGTAATTTATCGAGGTCCAATCCACAAAAATTATAAAATTATCGAGTACGGACCACGGACATGACACAGGTCACGAAATTAAAAGTTTAATGTTGAAACATTAGAGGGTGATAAATCATCTTCGTGCAATTTCCACAGAGTTTTAATCAAAGAAATAAATTTTGTGTAAACTAGGTCTCTGTTAACAGAGGTCAATATGCACCTAAAAAGATAGCCCTGATAAGGACTGTTGGTGCCAAACAAAGGACCTGCCTTACAAGCCGTCACTGCATACTCTAGTAATCGTTTTCGTCGTCCTTGCCTCTTTTGTAGAGTCGGTTACCTCGGGTTCAGTCAGGACATTATAAACTGTCCCGTGCCGCCTAAAACATTGCCCACGAGTAACAGAAACGCATGCGAATTATTGCTGTCATACACGTGGCATTTGTTTTTAATGTCCTGTGCATCTGAAAGACGTGTATGAACCGGAAGGGAAAGATGTTATATTTATATAGTGCAATGCCGCTTTAATGATAATACGACGGTCCGACAAAAGAAAGTGGCGGAAAGTGTAGCAATACACGCTCATATGATGGACAAAATGCATCAAAACTCTAACAGTCGTCGACGTCAATTTGATGAGCATTCGACAGCAGACAAAGAATCTCGTGAGAGTTCCGTGACGATTAAACAAAGTCATTTGTAATGGCACACATTCTCAGGCAAACATAGTGACTTTGTGTTGTAATATCTTGTAATACATGTTCAGATTTAAACTAAGTGTCCTTTCTTGCCCAGTATTGCGACGTCTGAAACACGTCATTTGTTAAATTGACGCTTTTGAACAAAGTTTATTGTGCCCCCACTTTAGTGGCGGGCATTTAGATTTACCCTTGTCCGTCCGTCCTTCCGTTCGTCCGTCCGTCCGTTCACTTTTGTGTCGCACGTAACTCAAAAAGTATTTGACCTAGAGTCATGAAACTTTACAGGAATGTTGATCAGCATGTGTAGTTGTGCACCTGTGTATTTTCGTCTGGATATTTTTAATATTTTTAGAGTTATTGCCCTTGACTTAGTAACATTTTGCAATTTTCAACTTGTGTCGCATGTAACTTAAAAAGTATTTGACCTAGAGTCATGAAACTTTACAGGAATGTTGATCAGCATGTGTAGTTGTGCACCTGGGTATTTTCTTCTGGATATTTTTAGTATTTTTAGAGTTATTGCTCTTGACTTAGTAAAATTTTGCAATTTTCAACTTGTGTCGCATGTAACTCAAAAAGTATTTGACCTAGAGTCATGAAACTTTACAGGAATGTTGATTAGCATGTGTAGTTGTGCACCTGGGTATTTTCGTCTGGATATTATTAGTATTTTTAGAGTTATTGCCCTTGACTTAGTAAATTTTTGCAATTTTCAACTTGTGTCACATGTAACTCAAAAAGGATTTGACATAGAGTCATGGAATGTTGATCAGCATGTGTAGTTGTGCACCTGGGTATTTTTGTCTGGATTTATTTAGTATTTTTAGAGTTATTGCCCTTGACTTAGAACATTTTTGCAATTTTCAACTTGTGTCGCATGTAATTCAAAAAGGATTTGACTTAGAGTCATTAAACCTTACAGGAAGGTTGCTCAGCATATTTAGTTTTGCACCTGGGGTTTCGCTTGTGGATTTATCCAGTATTTGTAGAGTTATTACCCTTGACTTAGTAAAAACCGTTTCTTTATGTTGTTATTTGTTCCTCGAGTGCTTGAGTTAGAATCAACCAACTTTACAGGAATAATGATCAACATCACTAAATTACAGGAATATTGATTCACATCTCTGTGAAGCTATGAACCTGGGACTTTGCATGTGGATTTGTTTTCAGTTTTGTTAGAGTTATTGCCCTTGACTAACAGTAGAATAAATTTGCAATTTGCAACTTGTTCATGCATAGCTCAAAAAGTATTTCACGTGTAGGCCTGAGGGTTTACAAGAATGTTGGTCAGCATGTGTACTTATGCACCTTTGGGTTTGCTCGTGGATTCATTCAGTATTTGTAAAGTTCTTGCCCTTTAATTAGTAAAACATTTTTAGTTTTCAAAGAATATTTGCCCTAGAGTCATAAGATTGACAGAACAGTGGCGCGGTGGGGGCACCCGTGTCCTATGGACACATTTCTAGTTAAAAGAGAATCTCAACAAAACATATCTTGAAATCTGTTTATCAAAGACATAATTATTTTTTCTAATACATTTCCAAAAAGAAAGAAAAGGTTCAGTACACATTTCAATTAATAACTTTAAATTATGTTACGATTCCGTTTTTGTCTTTTTATAGAAATAGTGTTCATTTAAAGGAAATGATCAAACATTGCAGGGTGATTAAGTTATATCGTAAATGGCTCAAATAAGGCTAGTGTTATGATATGTGTTTTCATTTGCTTCTTTTGAAATCTTATAATTTTGTGGCTTTGTTAATATCTTTTATAAAATTATCATATTTTCTTGATTGTGTAAGTAAAAGTTTTTTGAATTAATTAAAGGCAAAAAAAAATAAGACAATTAAATTTTAAACATCGGCTAACACATTTACTGGATTAATTGGCCTAACACATTAATTAATCATAATTTAGTCCAGCATGATGATTACGTCATGTCTGTACAAGAGGATTAAAATTCATTTTTTTATCTAGAATATTCATGTTGAAGGTTGTTTATCCATTTATTGATTTTCTGTTATCAATTATGACACAATTAATCACGTGATGCATTTGTTGAATTGTATTAATTATTGATTTCTTGTTTTAAGATTGTATTTTCATCGGTTATATTAATATAACTTTGCTATTTAGTTATTCTTATTTCAATGATAATAGATACCAAAAATGTTCAGACCTACCCACACAGCAAATAATTTAATTCAATGGTGCTGCAGTTTTTTGCAGTGTATTTTGGATGTATAGGCTAATAAGTTACTATTTGATGGAACTTCATGTGTGTTTTCAAATAAAAGGAATATTAATAATAAACCGGGAAAGAATGTACTTTGTCAGTGTGTGCTATAAATTACCAACTAAATGATTATCATATAGAAGTTGGAGATTATTAATACGAAATTAAATCCAACGAAGCTAGTACAGAGAAAAAAAACGGCACCATTACTACCTGTAAAAAAGTGCACACTCTGCCACTACAAAGAACAGCACCACCTAGGTCTGACTATCTTAGTAGTACATGTATATATATTTTATTGAAGCACCTTTATAAATTAACGCCAAAATTACATGCCCATGCGCTACAGTTTTGATTGTTTATAAATTTGCCTTTGAGTTTGATTGTTAGCGGGAAGTACGGTGGTTTATAGCGTTGTAAGCACCATATCTATCAAAAATATCACATCATTGATGTTGTGTTACAGTATGCAGGCGATAGTGAATACTACATGTACTTAATTCGTTTTTTATTTCCACGAAAAATTCGTCTACAAATCCATGTTTTTTTTTCAAAAATAACTTTATACAGCGAGGTTTCAAAAAAATTCATAACTTGTATTTATTTTGTATATTTTAGAAGTTATCTTGCTTATTTTCTTCATAAGTTGCACCATTTTAGCTTTTTTGTATTTTCTGTTCCATAAAAAAATGTTTCTTAAGAAAACATTTTGACGTTGTGAAATGTTTAAAATATTAAAGGAAAACTCGTTGAAAGCAACTGCAGGAAACGTAGTAGTCGTCCTCACACCGATGCTTGTTGTAGAAACATAATAATGAAAAAGTTAAATGTCATGTTAAACTTACTATTTTCGGAAGTCTTGATCTGGTGCAAGCCACCTCCAGACGCACACGCTCAAAAACGCATACATATAAAGACCCTGTGTGGTTAAATTTCTTGCGTTATAAATGTATACAAGAAAAGCATTGATGCAAAGCATCAAAGGGCGTCCAAGCAAGAAATGCAGCGAGTGAAGATGAACAAGTAGACATCTGATGACCAGATATTCTTATATAATTATACTTTTCAATGGTTTATTGGTTTTTACCAGAATTGTATATCATTTATGAATGGGCAGACAAAAGACATTGTTCATCATGAACTTTGGTAGGCATGCTAGAGATTAGAATATTAAATGCTTTTTTTTTTCACAGGAAATTGAAATTATATCAATATTAACGATAATATCCCAAAAATACAGGTCTTTAATATCCAAAATATACCCCCTATATGGTATTAGTTTATTTATATTGTATGGGGGGTATTTTTGGATATTATCATTTATATTGGTTATTTGATAGAATTTCAAGCTCATATGGTATTTTCTTTGGAACATACAAAATAGTAGTCGAAATGAACAAAGTCTGTTCATTTATTTATTGGGAGGTCAATCTACTATTTTAATGAATTACTTAAAAAAAAACCAGTGTGTTTACATCCCTATCAATAAACCCAAAACAACTCGTGTTAAAATTGCAGACGAAAGTTTCTCTTGTTAAAATGTCACAATATTTGGCAAGTGAACATTCCACTCAAACTACCATAAAATCGATTGCTTCAAACAGTGTTAGCTAAAGAGACTTGAACTATAGTATACTTCTGCTACACATGTTAACTGTCGCAATACCTCAAAATAAAACGACATTTAAAGTTATGAACTAGGTCTATTTAAATATTCACGGTAAAAATGTCATAAGTGCAATCAGGGCCGTAAAAAAAAACCGGAGAGACCTACGGAAGAGACAATTTCAAAATGATATTTCTATGATATAACAATTCGTAAAAATGGCCTACTTAATTTTTTCTGTAGATTTATAAAGAGTGCAATTAATTGTTTGAATATGTTTGCATTTCATTTCCTGCAAAATTCTCCAGTTCGTTATTTATTACCATAACGCGACACGAATGACCGTTTCGTTAAACTAAAACTTCTTCTATAAATAGATTTTCGGACTTTCACAATGTTAAGGTCATCATTCTATTTATAGGTACAGCAGTAACATACATAATAACCCACAAGATTAATAAAACAAACAACGACGAGCGCGATTAATTGACCGATAAGATAAATCATTTGAATATGTTTGCATTGCGAACTTCTCTAGTTCGCTATTCATTGTACATATCGCGAAATTTCGTTTTTGATAATCAAACACCCTCATAAAAATCGGAATGATCGTCTATTATGACAGACGAAAAGGCCCGAGAAGTTGCAATTGCCCTTTAACAAAATCTGATTTCATTCCATAAAGGGCGTCGCGCTTCGGCGCGGACGCCAATTAAAGAATATTTATTGTAGATATTTTATTTATATAAATTTCTTATTCTATATTGATTTATATGTTACCATGGGCTTTAACAAGTGGTCGTTTTATAGCGGTAGCGCTGATGTCGACTATGCTTTGAAAATCTGCTTTTGCCGTGGATACAAGCGGTGGTGACGTGTGATAGCCGATAGCTCCTGCAAAGTAAAAACATGTTTCGTATATCATAATTATTAACTCTTCAAACATAAATTAAGTTAAATTAATAAACATTAAACCCTGCACCATTTTGACTAAAGTCACTTGTGCTTACAGTATCATCCAACCTTAATAACTGAGGATTGATTAAACATAGAGCAGTGGTAATTACCTAAAGCTGTATTCATGGTACAAGCTATGTACGTTTTGCCAGCGTTTGCTGGCGTTTGACAAAGGCGTTCCATAACGTTAGTGTGTACTAGCCGTTGACAGCGTTTGTCAGTGTGAGTCAGCATATACTAGCTATTGTCAGCATTATTTTGTTCTCTTGACGCAGACGACCTTTTGTTAAAGCAAGTACATTGTAATTGTATCTATCACAGCCAAGTTACGTTAACTTATGTGTAATTTTCCTTATTGTATAAAGCTATATTCGTTTTGTATTTACTGCCTTTTATTGAAAACGAATGACGTCAAAGTTCCTGTCTTAAAGAAGTATGCTGATATATTTCCTCAAAAGCAAGTGTAACATGCTAAACAGTTAAAATCCTACCTAAAATTTTTAGCGTCATAATTTTTTTCCTGGAAATTTTATTCTGTTTACGTACTATATTCATGAGTGTTAAATAACAGAAACTCTTCATAACATAATGGAAACAACAAACTTTTACCGTTTTTTTATTTTATAAAAATAATTAAAAATAATTCTTTAGATATACGTGTATCATAAAAATGCATTAATTGGTCAAACCCTATATCCTTTTGTTGCAATTTGAATGAGATATACAGGAACGAGAAAGGAACGGAAGTGTGGAATACAAGACATGCCAATAAACAAACTGTACACTATAGTTGCACTTCTACAGTCCTGAAAATTCCACTCTGTTAATTTATGGCCGTGGTATTTATGTCCGTCGGCCGCCGCGAGACAAGACTTCTAAAGGAGAGGTTTGTCAACTGTGTTTACAAAACCTCTCTGAAAGCTTAAGCCTGTATTGGGACCTTTTTTTAAATGATCACAACTTACAACAGAATTTCAAAACTTTCGAAAAACGCCGATATCCAGCACTACTTTAACCAGCCTCCGCCACTCAACACTTTGAAAACGTTTGTGAATGTATGCTTTAATTATACAGTCAACTACGTGTAGTTAATACATTGTTTACCTCCAGTGTTTGTTCCATGAAGCATACAGTAAATACCAGTCTGTGTCCATGTCGAAGAAGTTACTCGCACTGGGAGCATCACGTTTCTTGCGGCCTGTTACCGTATTGAAGGTTTTACGTCTCAAAAACGAACATTTCAACTGCCCATTACTATATGATGTATTGATAGCAGACAATCCGTACTGGTTCTGTTTATATTGATTAAAAGGAAACGGCTTTCATTAGATTTCGATATAAGAATGGGATTTCATAACACTATGTTTTCGTTTCGAAAGTATATCAAATGTTTAGAAGAGTTTAATTTTATTTAAATATAACAGCCATAGGTCATGGGTAGATTATAAATCTTACTTTTGTTTTGATAACTTCCCTCATCAGGCACGGTGTCATCAGATTTTATACATCACAGCAAGACGAAAAATTATTTAAAAATATACCTGATCTAGTCGTTTGTTATTTTTGTCGTCCGAATTGTAAGAGACGTAGATATTAGACGTTCCACTAGTGGAGAGACATTCAAACACACTGTCATCGCCCTGTATTAGTTTATACAGAATTCATTTTAATCTGATTGTGTAAGAAGTTACAATATAAGCCTAAAGACACACACGAAAGATTTTCTGTAAGCAACCAATACAAAACATATATATGCTACGTAAACTTTCTTGCTCAAAGAAACAACGAGCTTGTCCACGTGTAAATTCTGAGATGACTATAGTCCTATGTTTTAACCACTTGGCAAGATTTCAGTTACATTAAATAGCAATACATGTATATTTATTTTCAAAACACGTGTTAAAGCCATAACATAACATTATTTTGGAATAGTGTTTCTAAAATTTGACAGTAAGGAATAATCCATTATCAATTATTTGAACTGCTATGCTGTATTTCTAAAATTTATTTATATATATATAAATCATATAAAATATATTCATCATGATCAGATTTTTCGACGAGGAAACCGAATCTTTATGCTGGAAAAATACACATTAGAAATAGCAGTCATGTTGGATTCATATGTTTAAAAGTCTTTCAGTAACCGAAATATCACGCTTTGTTACATTCACGGTTACTTAGCTATAATAATATAATATTCATTATTCATGATTATGGACCATTCAAGTAATAAGGATTTTAAGTTCTAACAACAGTGTATAACTCTCGTTGAGACTTTGTAGGTTCACCTTTTGTCTGGAAATACTTCGTGTACAAAGTTTCCTACTTGAAAAAAGTTACAATATCCTTAGTAAAATGTCTTTCAATTGACTTCAAGAGTTATGCTATTTTAAGTTACCATTTCCGTGTCATCTGAAAGACCTATGGCACAGTAAGGATCTGTTTCGCTTCTCGCGCATGTTAGCGTCAGCTCTATGTCACTTCCCTTTTCTATCCACGTGAGAAGAAAACTACACGTGACGCCCGAACAATCGTGAAAACATCCAACCGTCTTGCCGCACTCGCTGTCTTTCTGTACTGTCTATAGAAAAATAAAATGTAGGTAAATATTATGTAAGGTGAAACACAGGCTATCCCCGTGTGACAAATATAACCATGATGAAGACACAATGAAACAATGTTTAGTATAATTGTACATCATGAACATGAAAAGAATCCCCAATAACTATATGGCATGAACATGAAAAAAAAGCAACAATAACTATACGACATGAACATGAAAAAAAACAACTTTTTAGGCATTCTATATATTGACCAAGATGAAATAATTGTACTTTTCAGTCTTTTTTTTTATCTCTCTTTCACACACTGAAAGTCTGTGGTAGAAAGATAATTAAATATGATTAACATAGTCCATAAAAAAATGAAAAATGTATATAAAAAAATCGGTAAGTAGCGTAAACTCTCGTATAAAATCATGTTAATATATATTTGAAAAAAATATTTCTTTCATTATTGGTCATACCGATGCGATTCAGATTATAAAATACGAGGTGGAACACGTGGTACATATTCCGGATACCGGAATATAGCTAAGGTTACCATGCACATATTTTTTGTGTGTCAAGTAGTATAAAAAAAGAAAATGGAGACAAGTACTTTAAAACACTACCGAAATCTTTAAGACAGTATGTTGATGATACTTTGAACAATTTTGTAGGTATTTGAAAACACTGCATTTTTCATTTAATCATAACTGTTAAATAGACGTTTTAATTACATGTGTAACCGGTAAAATGAAATAGAGGTATGGAAAAATATTACGAAAAAGTCTATATAAACATGATTATTTTGATTTTACAACAAAAAATGTACAAACATAAATTAATCAATCAATCAAAAATGTTCTTACCGCTGCCTCACTTAAAGTGATACCCACAATTAAAATGCACGTGAGGGAGATAACATAACTCATTTCGTTCTGGAACACGAGTTATTTCCTGATCATTATTGTCGACATAAAATAACAAACTAACACATTCTCATGCACTTACTTAAATAGTAAGATATTCAAACTTTCTGTTCAAATTCTATAAGGGAACCATATAATTTGAAGTATGTATAAATCAAACGTGCATGTATCTACAAAAGACCGGTGGGGACATTTCAACTTCATGAATTTCCGATATAAGTTTTCAACGCACGGAATTCACGAATTCACGCTTTCAACTTAATGAATTTATTATTTCAACTTCACGAATTCACGATCTCAAATTTATGAATTCACGATTTCAAATGCATGATTCAACTTCATGAATTCATGTATTGAATTTTACTGCAACATTGAAGAAAAACTATCCAAAAAATGTAATGTGGTGTTTTTTGTCTCTTTTAAATACAAAATTTATTGGTCAGATGAAAAGCGAAGTTCACAAAGTTAAAATCGTGAATTAACGATGTTAAAGTGAAGTTCAAGTGGTGATGTCGTGAAGTTGAAATCGTGAAGTCGTGTAGCTAAAATTGTGAATTCATGAAACTAAATTGGTGAATTCATTATGTTGAAATCGTGAATTCTTTTATTCTGTATGTTGAAATCGTGAATTCATGAAGTTGAAATTAATTTTGAATCTTTGAAGAGATAAACCCGAGAATTCCAGAATTTGAAATGTCACCACTGGTCTGTCGTATGTATGATATCTCACTGCACTTGAAATAGTGATCTGTGACTTTCTTATTTATAACCCGTGTGTACCCTTTACCTATATTTAAACTGTGACTAAATATTTTAGAATGGTGGCTGATTTAAGAAAATTCGGGGTTTGCTTTGTTTTTTTGTTTTTTTTTTGTTTCAACAACAAAATGCAAAAATGTGAAAACACAAAGATATGAAATGTCCAACTTTGTCGTATCTTCGCGAAATTGCATTTTCGAGACGAAATATGCGAAAGATCGACAAAGAAAGGTGAAATATAGCATATAAAATTGATTTGCCGTATCTTTGCTTTTTCATGACGAAATTTGAAAAAGGAAAAAATAAGGTACTACAAAGTGAAACAATGTCGAGCCTTTCTTTTCGCATTGTTGAATTTCTGCTTTTTGCATACGTGCATTTTCGCTTTGTTGTGCATTTTCGGATTTCAGTTGCACTAGCGCATTGCGGAGAAAGCTTACACAATGTGATTGAAAATGAATGTTCTTAATTGTTCATATTCTTCAAACCATTGTAATTTCAGTTATAAATAAACTTACTCGTGCGGGACCCAAAATGATTTCAATCATATCGTTTTCTAATATATTGGAACTTGTTCAGAATTTAGTAAATGGAAGTAGGGGCCACAGGTTTTTGAAAGACGTAAAGGTGACAATAAATAGTGCAGTTTGCACACCTAAAGAAAGTTTAACATTTAATACCTCACTAATGAAGAGCCAAGTGGCCATGATTAGTGAACTTATATGACATAATTATGTGTTATATCTCTGCACGTGCATAACGCGAGGATGTAAAAAGCAACAAGACATCCGAATTTACGTAAATACCACCATGCAACGATGCATAACGGAAAGACAAAAACATAAAAATGCAGACACAACAAATTTGCATACTTTGGTTAAACCTCTGTCGTAAAGGCAAAAAAAATGAAATGGCTTAAATTGGCAACCATATTTGAAAGTTGTTATATTTTAAAAGACAAAGGTTCTGGATCCATTCACAGGCGGCCTTCTTTGAGATCGAATACCAAAAATAATAAGAACATAAAGCAAGAACAGAGTCCTGTTTTTTGTAAATGTGTCAGTGTTTAGACTAATGTTCTCTTTTTAAGCTTTTCTGCAAAATTGAAAAAAACAAGTTGATGATGTCGATGATAATTCATAATTATGATAATTATCACCATTCCTTAATTTCAAAGATGTGGTTATGATAATGATAATGGGGTGGTAATATCGACGATGATATTAATGATGATTACCACCATGGTAATATCGACGACGACGACGACGACGACGACGGTGACGATGATGATGATGGTGATGATGATGATGATGATGATGATTTTGACCATGACAATGATGATAATGACGATAATGGCGATGATATTGACGACAGCGATGATGATAATAATGATGATGGCGAAAATATCGGCGACGACGATAATTATGATGATGGTTATAATATCGACGATGTGGATGGTAATGCTGGTTAGTGAAATGATTAAAATGGTATCATTATGGTGGAGGTATTGAAAATGATAATCATTTGATTGTTATGCCAATATAAAGATCTATTTATGATGATTTCTTGAAGACGATACCTTAATGGTGATAGCTATGGCGTCAATAAAGTATATTTTAGGCAATATAATATTAAACAAATTGTGCGAATATTTCAATAGTGTTTTGGACATTCCAGAAAATACAAATTTGAGGGTTATTTAAATATTATTAACTTACAGGATGTATAATTATATACAAACATATTGCTCTTTAATTTTGTATTACGAGTTGTATTACAACTTAACATTTGTTGATGGCTCTTCTTTCTCATTACACCGACTCGTACCTGTTGATCACGAAGCAGAGGAAGGTGTTGATGTCGATTCTTTAATTGTTAATGCTGATGCTAATGATTATACTGCCGTAGATAATATTGTAAACGTTGTCGTCAGACTTGCTTATGATGGTAATTATGATGATGATGAGTATAATGTTTATGATGTTGATGATAATGGTACTGATGATAATGATGATGATGATGATGGTAGTGATGGTGTTGGTGATGGTGGTGGTTGTGATGATGATGATGATAGTGATGATAATAATGATGACTAGAAGGTGGGTGGAGGAAGATTAAATGACAGGATAAAATGTGATAACTTTAAATAAGCTCACTTTACTCAGTTACTTATAGCGTAGCTACCCCGGAGCCAATGACATCACAATGTATCCGTTTATAAAATGTTAGCCGTTTAGACGAGATAAAATATGATCACTTGAAATTTTATCTATCACTCTACACCCATAAATTACAAGTGCATTTATAATACTCCTTCTAATTTATTACCGCTATTTCTATTGATGATTTATCCGGAAATAAATCCATCTGATAGGAAAAAAATATGTAGATCAAAATATTGGAGTACAAATCCTCCGTTATATTTTATAACATATAATTGTTGTAAATATTGTTATCTCACCATTGGAATCATGACTTCCTAAAGCTATTCATAGATTAAGAGTCGGGCCCGCGTCTGCACATCTTTGGAAGAAATATACGAAATAGTAAAATTAGAAGAAATATATAGTACTAAACGAAGAGATGATGATGCTGATCTTGTTGTTGTTGACATAACGATGATGATGTTGTTTATGAGGTTGGTGATAGCGCGGCTTCTGTTGCTGTTTCTGTTGTTGTTGTTAATGGTGATGATGATGATGATGATGATGATGATGATGATGATTATGATGATGATGATGATGATGATGTTGTTGTTAGAGTTTCCTTTCGGACAGAGAACTAATTGTAGCAGCTATATTTAATCAAAAGCGTGTTAACTTGTGTTATTGGCCCAATACATCAACTAATGAAATATTTAATGATGGCGTGAAAGGCTCGAGTTTTATATTAACAAAAATACATACATGACAGATATATCTTAAATGGAAGGAAGATCATTTGATTTCTATTTTCCTTTTAATTTTCCATTTATGACATTCACCAGTATGTAATGCCCATGCTTACATTTGAAGTGTACCATTAACTACGAAAGACCGCTGGGGACATTTTAACTTCATGAATTCTTAAATGGAAGGAAGATCATTTGATTTCTATTCTTCCTTTTAATTTTTCATTTATGACATTCACCAGGATATAACGCACATTGTAACCAATAGACTTGCAGCGTTTCTGCATCACGTGGTATTCCAGAAAAAAATATTATTGAATCCAGTCTTATCCATTTAGCATTATTTTCATTTTCAGAGTCCAAAATATCCACATAAAA